GAGATTTCATGCTAACAAATTAATTCTGAAATTGAAATTATCTGAATTTCAGACCCTCATAGGTTGGAGTTATTTGGTTTGTAAACGTTGGTAATGGATTTATCCCAGAATACCCAATGACGTATTCATCCTCCAAACTGTCAGTATCTGGTGTCTGTGTTTGTGTGAGTGTAAACCACAGTGTAAACGTCAGAAAATAGTGATAAAATTAAGTGTTATCAAAAGGAAAAAGTGTTTTTACCTCGCTTATTGGCTGTGAGTACTTACAGTTTCTCTTATATTTAGAATTAGTTTGCTCAGAGGCAACAAATAACAAGCTTCGGACTTTTGCTGACCCTCAAAATAAACTGCATTTATGGGATAAAATTTTATTTTAATGACCAATTACAGCATTTAACCATTGGTAGAGTGGCTTTCATATTTAACATAGTATTGCGCGTAATTTGCGTTCATGCATGCATTTTTAATAGGTAAATTTTCCAACCTTCGAACGAAACTATCGATATTTGTCCAGGCTGGCCCCCTTAATAACAACCCATTATCAAAGTCTTTGTCGTGGGATTTTCCTGCCCTACCTTCAAGCCTCTTCAGCCAGTTTCAATTCTCCCAATCAGAAATCAATGAGTTGATTGGGTTTCCATGTTCATTGTCCCATTTTAATCAAGGCTAATTGGTTAGAAGCACAGTTTATAATATACACATGAGAATCAGTGTAATACTATAGTTTCGGTTTCCTTTCTAATTTAGTTCAAAGTCACTCCTGATCTGGTTTTTGCTGTTAGCAAACAGGACTCACTCATAAAACTCAGGTTTGGTGTCTGAATATATCAGTTATAAAGCTTACATAAGTTTCTCTTTGTAGCATTTTTGAATAATTCTTCTTAATTTCCTGTTTTGTATTAGTTTGCAGTCTATGACGCTTTTTATTTCATATTAAATCTGAAACAGTCATTCTAGTTAATTGAGCAAAATTGGGTTTTTACGAGCAACAGTCTGTTCTAAAGCCTCTACTGGTGGAATTCGGTGCAGTCTTCCAGAAAATGACCCTTATGTGAATGAGGATGCTCAGTTATTGTGTATTTAATCAGTTCAATTATTATCAGCACACCTGATAAGTTTTTAACAARGTTGTTCGATTAGGTCAGCAAGATGGTTTYGATAAAAAAAATACTAAATTGAACCAAGAATGTTCGAATTGTCTCGAAAAGTCGCTGATTTTGTCAGTTTGGTTCAGACTTTCAGTAATACGGGCGGTTGAACTACGTAGAAAATTCAATGTTTTTCTAATTGCTCGTATCTTCCAATTTAATGCAATCACCCCCTTCTTCCACTGGGGCAGCTTTTGACTATGTTTTGATGAAAAAAATACATTGCATGATACATATCTATAACCGATCTAATTAATCATTAAATTAGCTACATTTGCATGTAAGCCTCTTTTGAATGTCTATTCGTTGTCGAGTTATTGGAAATAAACTAAACTTGGCTAGTGTTTACCGTTAAACATATTACTCTTTGAGTGGAATCGTCAGTAAGTGGGCCTTGCAACAAATTATCAGTTGTTGTATTTACATTTATCATTTTAGCTGTAAACTAGCACTGAATAGACCAAAAAAAGTACTGAATAGATTGTAAGAAGTGTTTGCATGTTACTGATCTTTACAAATGTTCAAAATAAATTTCATTGTTATCAAGCCAGAAAGTGTTTACTCATCATTGTGAAACTGAAGTTTTTCGTTGCTTTGGCGGGTAAATAATTTTTGGAATAAGATGGCCAAAAGCAGTAAATTTTTCTTTTTCCAAAAATTATCTGTCCGTTTAAGCCTCGAAAAAATAATCGTGAAAGCTCAGAAAGACATTTTTATTATACTTTTATACTTAATTACATTAGCTCAGCTTTCAACTGGACATTTTTGCAGTCACCTTTTTAGGAGTAATTCGATTAGATTTAGTTGCTCATCCACACATTCTTTAATTAACGTTTGATGAAAATATTTTTCGATATTCGCCTCGACCTTAGCAGTAAATCGGGAATTTAAATCTCAAATGAATAGTTTGCTTGCAAGGCCCTCTAACTGCCCACTTCACTCATACAAATCGACGTGTTGATCAACAAGCATTGGTAAGTTTACTTAAGTGTAGATTTTTCCGATAATTACACCACAAATAAAGATACCGAAACGCAGTTTGCAGCCAAATCCATGGATTTTAATGCTTGCAAGTGAAAAGTGTATGATGCAATTTGTTTGGTTTTTTTTGCGAACGGAAACTTTACAAAACCGAGTGGTGGATGAACTTCGCCTTCTTTAAAGGTGCGGCATATCGGGTAGCAATAGCGATTAAGGTCGGTATTGTATTAAGTTGGAAATTCTTAATCAAACATATCGCTCACACGCTTAAAGGCGTCTTTCATTTTAAATCGCTTTGTTTTATTTCTTATGGTCTCTTGAT